CTCTCCTCCCTTCAGAAGAAAAGGTACCTCCTTCTTAGATGACCCTGTTCTTTCCACTGGGGATCTCACTCACCAGAGATCTTTTCATTTAGGGTTTTTTTTTTTTTTTTTTTTTTTTTTTTTTTTTGCCTGAGTGTTTTGGCTTTCGATGCCTGAAATACTCTCATGGGCTTTTCAGCCAGATCCGAATGCCTTTAGAGCTGATTCTGAGGCCCGAGTGCTGTTTAGGACATCTGCTATTCTATGAGTCTGCTGAGTATCTTGCTTCCCATGTTGGATCATTCTCCCCTTTATTTATTCTATCGGTTAGTGTTAGCAGGTACTAGACTTGTTTATGTGCTCCCTTTGACTCTTAGTCCTTTCATTATGATCAATTGTGAACTGAAATTGATGACTTGGACTAGTGAGATGGCATTGGTACGTGCCACCTTGATGGGATTAAATTGGATTCCCCTGGTATGTTTCTAACTCTACCATTTGGGGCAAGTCAGCTTGAGCATGTCCCAAATTGTACATCTCTTCCCTCTCTTATTCCCACTCTTATGTTTAACAGGGATCACATTTCAGTTAAATTTCAACACTTAAGAATAACTGTGTATTAATTACAGAATTAAACCAGTCATATTAAGTAGAACAGACAAATAAACTACTGAAAGGGATAATGTATTGAGTTGTTCATTAACAGTCAGGGCTATGCTGATCAAGTCACCGTTTCTCATAGTGTCCATTTCACTTCAACAGGTTTCCTTTTTGGTGTTCAGTCAGTTGTCACCAATCAGGGAGAACATATGGTATTTGTCCCTTTGGGACTGGCTTATTTCACTGAACATGATGTGTTCCAGATTCCTCCATTTTGTTGCACATGACTGGATTTCGTTGTTTCTTACTGCGGTATAGTATTCTAAAGAGTACATATCCCATAATTTCTTTATCCAGTCTACCGTTGATGGGCATTTAGGTTGGTTCCAGGTCTTGGCTATTGTGAATTGTGCTGCAATAAATATTAGGGTGCAGACCACTATTTTTTTTTGCCAATTTAAATTCCTTTGGGTAAATTCCAAGGAGTGGGATGGCTGGGTCGAACGGTAGGGTTATCTTCAGGTTTCTGAGGAATCTCCAGACTGACTTCCATAGTGGCTTGACCAGTTTGCATTCCCACCAACAGTGGGTTAGTGTCCCTTTTTCCCCACATCCTCGCCAGCATCTGTTGTCGGTAGATTTCTGTATGTGAGCCATTCTAACCGGGGTGAGGTGAAACCTCATTATGGTTTTGATTTGCATTTCCCTGATTGCTAGTGACCTGAACATTTTTTCATGTGCCTGTTGGCCATTTGGATTTCCTCTTTTGAAAAATGTCTATTGAGGTCCTTTCCCATCTCTTGAGTGGGTTGTTTGTTTTGATGTTGTGGAGTTTCTTGATCTCTTTGTAGATTCTAGTTATTAACCCTTTATCTGTTGCATAGTTTGCAAATATTTTTTCCCATTCTGTCGGTTGTCTCTTCACTCTCCTGACTGTTTCTTTTGCAGTACAGAAACTTCTCAATTTGATGCAATCCCAAATGTTAATTTTGGCTTTGACTGCCTGTGCCTCCCGGGTCTTTTCCAGAAATTCTTTGCCTGTGCCAATATCTTGAAGGGTTTTTCCAAAGTTCTCTAATAACTTGATGGTGTCAGGTCGTAGAT